GGTGTGTTTTGTACATTTTGACTTGGAAATGTGTTTCGCGCCACGGCGTGCAATTTTTCATCTTTCATCTGGCCAGCTGGCTCCGCACCCGCCGCTTTAGCGAGCCTACTTTTCGACCCTCCGGAGCCACAAATCATTGGAAAAACATAGTGTTTCGCGACTTTCCTACCTTTTCACGCATCTGCATCTTCTTTCTTCTTACTCTTCTTTCTTCTAATCTTTCTCTTCTCTCTGCCTCTTCCCTGCTCTGCTTTTCATCTGTCCATATTTTCGGAAGTTTGACTTCTAAACTTCCTTCGATAATAATATACATGGGACACGGAAATCATGAATGGCTCCATGCGTCGGAAATCGAGCGCGGCTCAGCTTCTGCGCAGTCGAAGGCTTGCAGGTCGGGCATGTCCCTTGGAGCAATCAAGTGGAAGCAAAATGCGTTTCTCTCGTAGGAAGCGCAAGGCTTCTTTCCACTGACGCACCGTACATTTGATCTTGTCTCGCAGACGGCGCAAGTCAAGCCGCTTCTCCTTGGCAAAGCTTTCGCGCAGCCCAGTATACGGAATAACACATCACGATCGCTCTGTAGCGATGTCAGCAAAATCACCTGACACAAACGGGGGTGCATGATATGATGCATTTATCTACTTTTCCAGAATTCATTCTAATGTACAGATGAAACCATCTGCAAGTATTGAATTAAGAACAGAAGAAAGCAGGCCAGGGGAGGTTAGACTCTTGTGTCGGGTCCCACAAGTCTACCACATGTACAAAACAAGATGGGGACCAGCACGGCATGACCATGAGCTAGCAGCAACCCTCAACATAATGCGCTGACAGTGATAGGCTTCGGGGTTTGTGGGCCAATGCTCGCAGAATTCTTTGTCTGTGTTCACTGCCTATAGGCCTAGTACTATATGTCTCATCAGCGATACCCCCCCCCTCCAGTCAGGATGCCTTGGCCACTTGGCAGGGGGTGCTAGCTGCAATGGGCGGCAAAGAAGGCCACTGTGCAGGCATCGATGTCTGGGGAGCCATCCTGCCATTAGCCACATGCCGCATGATATATGTTTCAGTTAAGACTTGCCCCTGTAGATGCATCAGCAATTTCGCTGCTGCTGCCAGAGCCTCAGGAAGACGCTGATGACAGTCGATCAGAGATCGTTCCAAGGACTCAAGCTGCGCATGTGGGGCATGGTAAATGATCTTTTGCACATTCACATCTTTTAATATTTGAAGCTATTGAAAATAGTTTGCTGTGTGTTGCTTGACAGGCACCTCATGGGCCAAGAAGCCACTGGATATGTGTGCAGTATCGGCAACGAGCAACTGGAAAACAAGGAAACAACGCCTTGAGAGGGGCGTGGTTTTCTGTCATTGTGGTCTGGGAGATCGGATCAGGAATGAGCATTTTACACTTTAAGGTACCATGGGGCAAACGTCTCACTTGCGACTCGGAAACCCGCTCACTTGCGTCTCTGTCTCACTTGAGATCCTGGTAAATGGCGGCACCTTATTTCTGGCCAAGGCTTCGCTATTTCTGGCGAAGGGGGTCCCCCTAATTGAAAGCGAATACATAAGTGTAATATACGTGTCATGTTGGGACCTGTTTAGGATTACTGGACAAAGTGCCTACTTGAAAACAAAAACATAAGTGTCATGCTGGGATCTTTTTAGTGTTGACAAACAAATTGCCTAATCAAACATCAACTGAAATTTAATTTACTGAGACTTGACTCTTTGGAAGGTTCCCCAAAATTGGAACATGTTACTTGGGGGGGGCGCCACTTTGCAATTATAGGTCGTTAAAAAGGGTTGAGATAGCAAAAGTATGCAAAGTAATTTACCTAAAATAAAGAGATGTAGAAAGCTCAGTGTATTCACCCAAAATTCCCGCAGCAAAAGTTCAGTTGCTTGACTAGGGGGGAAACATTGCTTTTAATTGTGGTTCCAAGGTGGTGCAAGGCTCTCCAATTTGCACGTTTTTCTTTTTTCGCATTTTGAAACGGAGGTTAACCACGACAATCGATCCGTTCAGATCTTTGAGGATGTTGAAATTTCAGTGGTTTCAATCCGGTGGTTAAACTTTGAAGGGGAAAGGGTTAGCAAAAGTAACTTAAATCATTGGGGATGTGGAAAGCAAAGTATGTTCACCCCGAATTACCGCAAAAAATCAGTTACTTTGTGGTTCTGAGGTGGTTCAAGTTTGTTGTTTTCATTCTTAGTAAGGGATTAAAGTTTGCCTCTGATTAGAAGCCTGGTACCCTATTGTGAGAAATTTCTTGCTCCTAATTCAGTAACATGCTAATTGTTGGGGGGGAGCCTCTATTGTGAGAATTTTTTTCCAGATGTTTTTTTTCAACTTTTATTTTTATTCCAAATGCTTTAAGGTTGTTTTGAAATGAATTAATTTATTTTTAGTTTTAGCTCATCTATTTTTATTTTATTTTTTATTTTTACTTTTTACTTTTCTATTTTAATTTTATGTTTATTTACTATTGTTTCATTTTTTTCATTGTTTCCTTTAAAACCCTTATTAGATGCCTTATTAAACCCTTATTAAAAAACAGCATCCAGACAATTTTTCAAGGGTGTACCTCATGAGTGGCTCAGTTACTGAATAATATAATTGTTTGGATGGTACTCTATTGTGAGCACCCACTTTTGGGAGTGAAAAAAAACACAAAACCCTTTCTCCACCTTTCTTTGGCTAAAGCTGGTCCCTTTACTGTAGAAAGCCATATTTGTGTTAAAGCTTTTAAAATGCAAGGTTTCCCAAATAATTAGATGCCTTATTAAACCCTTATTAAAAAACAGCACCCAGACAATTTTTCAAGGGGATACCTCATGAGTGGCTCAGTTACTGAATAATATAATTGTTTGGATGGTACTCTATTGTGAGCACCAACTTTTTGGAGTGAAAAAAAAAAACGAAACCCTTTCTCCACCTTTCTTTGGGTAAAGCTGGTCCTTTCACTTTAGAAAGACATAGTTGTGATAAAACTTTAAAATGCAAGGTTTTTCCAAATAATTAGATGCCTTATTAAACCCTTATTAAAAAACAGCATCCAGACAATTTTTCAAGGGGGTACCTCATGAGTGGCTCAGTTACTCAATAATATAATTGTTTGGATGGTACTCTATTGTGAGCACCAACTTTTTGGAGTGAAAAAAAAAAGCAAAACCCTTTCTCCACCTTTCTTTGGGTAAAGCTGGTCCCTTTACTGTAGAAAGCCATATTTGTGTTAAAGCTTTTAAAATGCAAGGCTTTCCAAATAATTAGATGCCTTATTAAACCCTTATTAAAAAACAGCATCCAGACAATTTTTCAAAGGGGTACCTCATGAGTGGCCCAGTTACTGAATAATATAATTGTTTGGATGGTACTCTATTGTGAGCACCAACTTTTTGGAGTGAAAAAAAACACAAAACCCTTTCTCCACCTTTCTTTGGCTAAAGCTGGTCCCTTTACTGTAGAAAGCCATATTTGTGTTAAAGCTTTTAAAATGCAAGGTTTCCCAAATAATTAGATGCCTTATTAAACCCTTATTAAAAAACAGCACCCAGACAATTTTTCAAGGGGATACCTCATGAGTGGCTCAGTTACTCAATAATATAATTGTTTGGATGGTACTCTATTGTGAGCACCAACTTTTGGGAGTGAAAAAAAAGCAAAACCCTTTCTCCACCTTTCTTTGGGTAAAGCTGGTCCCTTTACTTTAGAAAGCCATAGTTGTGTTAAAACTTTAAAATGCAAGGCTTTCCAAATAATTAGATGCCTTATTAAACCCTTATTAAAAAACAGCATCCAGACAATTTTTCAAAGGGGTACCTCATGAGTGGCTCAGTTACTGAATAATATAATTGTTTGGATGGTACTCTATTGTGAGCACCAACTTTTTGGAGTGAAAAAAAAAACGAAACCCTTTCTCCACCTTTCTTTGGGTAAAGCTGGTCCTTTCACTTTAGAAAGCCATAGTTGTGATAAAACTTTAAAATGCAAGGTTTCCCAAATAATTAGATGCCTTATTAAACCCTTATTAAAAAACAGCATCCAAACAATTTTTCAAGGGTGTACTCATGAGTGGCTCAGTTACTTAATAATATAATTGTTTGGATGGTACTCTATTGTGAGCACCAACTTTTGGGAGTGAAAAAAAAATGAAAGTAAATTAAAAGTAAATTGAAATCAATTGAAAGTAAATTGAAATCAATTGAAAGTAAATTGAAAGTAAATTAAAAGTAAATTGAAATCAATTGAAAGTAAATTGAAATCAATTGAAAGTAAATTGAACGTAAATTAAAAATAAATTGAAATCAATTGAAATCAATTGAAAGTAAATTAAAAGTAAATTGAAATCATTTGAAAGTAAATTGAAATCCTTTCTTAAGTTGATTGACCAAAAAAATGTTGAGGGGGGGGCGAAAAGAAGTGCGAGTTATAGAGTATCCTCAAATTGTTTAGGGGGGGGGGGCCCTCACACTAATCAGAGGCACACATTAATATACAAAGAAATCGATGCCTTCAGATGTGTCCAGATTCACATTCAGATCTTTGACATGAGATTCAAAAAACAACAGGAGAGAACAAACAAAAAAAGGGGAACGAAAACGCAAAGAAAAACTCGAAAACAACAACAACACCAAAAACGATCAAAAACGATCAAAAACGGTGGGCGTATCTAATCCATTAACGGGAGTTCGCTTATTTTTTTTGTGGGAGTTGCTGTACTTTATTGCGATCGGGATATATAATGTGATGTGAACATGACTCTCAGTTGACTACGTTGGTTTGTCGTTTTTATCTTCTTTTCTGTTGTTGCTTGCTATTGCCATGTCTTGGAACACTCCACAGGACATCACGACATGAACACTGATATTATTGCAACAAGAAAACGACATCTAAAATTTGAATCTAATAGTTGGAATATTATACCAACTGATGTCATTCTGCGAAAGGCTCCCCAATCTTTGCTGAGACCATTCCTTAAATCTCAGCCCTTGGCCTTGCCATCCTTGTCCACATCCGCATCTCTGTCGTGTCTTAGATGTCTTCGGTGGGGTTCTGGCAGCTTGCTGCGTGCATGTCATCAAGGAGAGTCCAACCATGTGAAAATCCCAGGGGGAGCTGCTCCTGAGATCATACCTAAATTTTGACATGGATGGACATGACCAAACAACAGCATGTTTTTCCCGCTCTCCAGCAAGTGGAGCATATAGCAAGAAAATTTCGGCAAACGATTGCAACTTGACTTCCCTCTCCTCGTTCTCTCCTGTCTCGTCTAGAAGAACGGCTTGAACGCCTCCTTTTGCGGTTCTCACGGTCCTGGTTTCTGTGTGCATTGGAATCGAAGTCCAACACATCCCGATAATAGACTGCTCCCAAATCCTATGGTTTATCATATCGTTCTCACTATTAATGGTGGTTAATCCTATAATTTGATATAATTTGGTGGTAACCATAGGATTAATAGTGATTTGGTGATGAGAAACCTATGGTATTACCACTTTCTCATTGATTTGGTGGTTAATGGTCATATTTCCCGCGCATTTATATCATTTATGTGGCATTCCCCATTTTCATCCCTTTGCGAAACAACTGTCAACCCAGGATCTGTAACATAAGTTTAGTACTGGGGGGGGAATCCCATTTAAAGAGCACATTCTCACTTCATTGGGCTAATCCCCCTAATTAATCAATGTCTAGTCTACTAATCCGACCCCCCCAAACAGTCCTAACATCCCCTTATTGGCGCCAAATCTGTGAGAATCCGACATTAAGCATCATTAAGATATGGCTTCTTGGGAGTGGTTAGTAACGGTTGGTATGGCACGGGGGATGGGAACTCCGCGATTGTCAGGGCGTGTGGTGAGGCAAATGTCTCATCGTCTCCTCACCGTGTCGCCGTCTGTTCCTCGGAGATGTGCGGCGATCGCCATGCCGTCTGGAGGCCTGCGTGCTGAGGATGTTAGATGTTGGATGTTGGATGTTGATCCCTTTTTCAAGCAACCGAATGAACAAAATGTGAACCAGGTAAAAAATGGTATAAACAATTATAAACATTTAGAAACCCAAAATTATGAGAGCATTGAGAACCCGAGAAATTCTGGAAACATACGTCAGATCGATTGTAACTGGATGTAATCGGTGAATAAAAAACGGGTGGAGAGTTATTTGGAGATTTTTTTGTTGGGTGATTTTTTTTTTCAGACTCCTGTTCCCTTATATTATCTTATATTTGCAGCATTTATAGAAACATATAGAAACTATAACCTTAGTTTTCACGTGATATGCGCACGATTTTGCAGTTCTTATGCTTGTTGGGTAGGGGGCGTCTAGGTGCGGGGGGTGGGGGGTGAGGAGTGCATGGGGGAGTTAGAGGTTTGAAGGTGTTGAAAGTGTTAAAGGTGTTGAAGGTGTCGAAGGTGTTGAAGGTGTTGAAAGTGTTGTTATTGGTTTTGTTAGTCTTGTTGGTCTTGGTCTTGTTGGTCTTATTGGTTTTGTTGGTTTTGTTCCTTGTTGGTCGTGTTGGTCTTGTTGGTCGTATTGGTCTTGTTGGTCTCGGTCTTGTTGGTCTTGTTGGTCTCGGTCTTGTTGGTCGTGTTGGTCTTGTTGGTCTTGCTGGTCGTGTTGGTCGTGTTGGTCGTGTTGGTCTTGTTGGTCTTGTTGGTCTTGTTGGTCTTGTTCCCCACATTGACGTGTGAGATTTTTGTTTTTAGTTCTGTATCCGCGCCTCCTCCTTCCCGTCCTCCTCCTTCACACTCACACTCACTCACTCACTCACTCGCTCGCTCACTCACTCACTCACTCGCTCACTCACTCACTCACTCACTCACACACACACACACATCACTCACACACACACATTACTCACTCACCCGCCTCTCTGCGTGGCAGCCGCGGGACAATGTGCACTGCCAAGGGGTCGGATGTACGCCCTGGCGTCCCTCGGGCTCCGCGTCTTTTGCGTGGCAAGCGTGGGGCAATGTGCACTGACTGCCAAGGGGTCGGATGTACGCCCTGGCGTCCCTCGGGCTCCGCCTCTTTTGCGTGGCAGGCGTGGGACAATGTGAACTGCCAAGGGGTCGGATGTACGCCCTGGCGTCCCTCGGGCTCCGCCTCTTTTGCGTGGCAGCCGTGGGACAATGTGCACTGCCAAGGGGTCGGATGTACGCCCTGGCGTCCCTCGGGCTCCGCCTCTTTTGCGTGGCAGGAGTGAGACAATGTGCACTGCCAAGGGGTCGGATGTACGCCCTGGCGTCCCTCGGGCTCCCTGTGCTCACACTCATTCACTCACTCACTCACTCACTCACTCACTCACCCACCCACCCACGCACGCACGCACGCACGCACGCACTCACTCACTCACTCACTCACTCACATTCTCATTCACTCACCTGTGCATGCACATACATATACACACACACACAAACTCACCCACCATCACCCCTCCATCACTCTTATACTTCCTCTTCCCTTCTTGCTTTTCTATGCTCAGTCTAAGTCTAGAGAAGTTGGTAACATGTGGGTTATCCGGTCCTATAATTGCTTTTGTTTTTCTTGTTCTTCTTGTTTTTCTTGTCAATGTCGTTGTCGTTGTCGTTTAGGGATTTAGGTCTGGGGGCGTGGGGGGATGGGGGATGGGGGGGTAAGGGGTTTGAACGTTATAGACTTATGACTTTATTTCCAGCCTGAAGTGTGCATGTAGTAAGTGCATGTTTTATGCATGTTCAGAATGCATGTTGCCAAAAGATGCATGTTCAAAATGTATGTGCTGAACTGCCCTCTTCTCAAAATGCATGTGGGACAGGCACTTGGTCACACACAACACATATAGTGATAATAAACCAGGGTGAATTGATGGTTAAGTGGTTGATAATGCTTGATTGATGGCTAATCAATGGTTAATCAATGAATGGTTAAACGGTTGATAATACTTGATTAATGATTAATGGCTAATCAATGCTTAATCTATGGTTAAGTGGTTGATAATGCTTGATTGATGGCTAAAAAACATGCATTTTGGATTTGGGTGTTTTGGCCCTGGGGCCCCACACGCAAAAAACATGCATTTTGGATTTGGGTGTTTTGGCCCTGGGGCCCCACACGCAAAAAACATGCATTTTGGATTTGGGGATTCTGGAGTCAAAATTTGCAAAAAACCTCGAAAAAATGCATGTTTTTTGCATGTTGGTGGCCAAAACCCTAGCAAAATGAAGGAAACATGCAAAAAACATGCATTTTTTCGAGGTTTTTTGCAAATTTTGACTCCAGAATCCCCAAATCCAAAATGCATGTTTTTTGCGTGTGGGGCCCCAGGGCCAAAACACCCAAATCCAAAATGCATGTTTTTTGCGTGTGGGGCCCCAGGGCCAAAACTATAGTAATATAGTATATAAATATAAAGATGTTGGCTCTGGATTTGTTGATCATAATATGTCATATGTGCTGTTACTCTCTGTGCAGCCTTTGCTCTTCCTTCTCTTTGACTGGTTGTAGCAAGACCCTGCTGGGGCCTTGAACTGCGCTAAATGATTCGAATGGCCTTTGCAACTAGCCCTTCAAACACAGAAGGGAACAAGTTTCCACATGCAAAAAAACATGCATTTCAGTCATAATTATAGACCTATAGATGATGCTGATGCTGATGCTGATGCTGATGCTGTTGTTGTGGTTGTGGTTGTGGTTTATGTTGTTGTTGTGAAGAGAAGAGAAGAGAAGCGAAAGGAAGAGAAGAGTAAGAGCAAGAAACTCAGGCAATCTCATCCAGAGACTACACAGAGGAAGAGAAACGAGCACATTGCATGATAGCATCCAAGCAGAAAGGAGAGAAGCATCCAAGCGCAGGCGAAGAACAGGAAAGAAACAAAGAAACCAACAACATTAAACATGTACAAGGGTTGGAGAACCAGGACCATATGTGCTAGGGTCAAAACATGGTGTATGGTCATCCATCTCATAATGGCAATCCTTATCATGGATATACAAACCCCTATGAATGGAGTCATGACAAATTGCTTTTATGGGAAACTAACCCATGTTTTTGCCATGGCACATCACACACAAAAAAGTAGAGAAATAAAACGAACACCAAAGCAAAACAGAAAGACTCAGAGAAGAAGAAAAACAGAGAAACGAAAGCAGAGAAGCAGCAAAAAGCAGAAAAGCAAAAAGACAAGAAAAGCGGAAAAAACGGAGAAGCAGAGAAGCAAAGAAGCGGAAAAGCAGAGAAGCAAAGCAGCAAAGAAGCAGAAAAGAAGCAGAGAAGCAAAGAAGCAGAGAAGCAGAAGAAGCAGAAGAAGCAAAAAAGACGAAAAGCAGAGAAGCAAAAAAAGCAGAAAATCAGAGCAGCAAAAAAAGCAGAAAAGCAGAGAAGCAAATAAAAATAATTGAAGCAGAAAAAATAAAGCGAAAACAAATCCATAAAAGGCACCCCAAAGCAGAAAGCAATGGAAGGTGTAACAAAAAGGACGAAAAAAAAAAACAAACTCACCCGAAAAAAATCCCTAAATATCCTAAATAAATCCCTTCCCAACGGGTGGACATAGAAAACACGGTAGTCGGGTAGACGACCTAGTACCGCCTGGACCTTGCCTAAACCCTTCTGTCGACACAGTCGTGCTCAGAAGACCCGAGCGTGTGAACACACAAGCTGGAAGCGAGTTGCGGACAGAACGCGAACTGGGAAATATGATGGTTAAATCCATAAATTACCACAAAACATCATAAAACTATCATAAAACCACTAGAAAACCACTAGAATAAACCATTCTAACTGATGGTTCAATCCCATCGTTTTACTGTGGACATCTGTGGCTCACCTTGCAGGAGCCAGCGACTTTGATGACCCCTTCTTGCTTTCTTAAGATTTCTTAATCAAACAACTTGAGAAAAGATGAGAAAAGGTACAATGATATCGCAAACATGCAGACCGTAAACACCTGCATGCAAAATCAACAAACATCTGAGAAATCTGCCTTTATGATCGTCGCTCTTCGTTTCTCCAATCTGTCTTTTGACTGCTTAGAGTCTTTCTTCCCATCTTCCCTCGCCTTCCCGTCGTCTTGCTTCGTTGTCTTGTCCTCCGCATTCTCCTCTGAATTCTTCTTTTTTTCAACTCCGTTTGCCTTGCAAGAGCAGGCCCTGAAGGAAAAGAACGATTAGAGGCTGCCAGCATCTGCCAGCCACATGAATGAATTCCCAGGCAAGTGGCAAGGTCTTTGTGGTTTTTGTCCGAGCGAAGAGACTTTTTGTCAACCTTCAACAGCACATGATGTTGATGTCTGCAGCCGGACTGTTACTATGAGTCGGTCGGGATTGTTTGAGCATTCGGGTGCGCCCAAATCCCTTTGTTTATCAACATTTTCATTAAATGAAAATTCCATGACCGTATATACCGTATATCCTTCTTTTACACAAACCCATACATGCAACCGTCAAAATGTCGGGTGATGTCACGTATATCTCTGGCCCTCAAACTTGCCAAAGGCGTGTGATGAGTAGGCGGACATGGGCATGCTACAACTATCAGCACTTCACAGCTTCGCAGCGAAACGCATGCAATTAAAACATACATGGATAATGATGGATATTCATTGGTTGCATGGTCACATACAACTCATTAATTTTTTTCCACGGCAGTCCAAACAGATTTTGGTGTGATTTCCGCCCACTAAGCCTCCGTTTCAAAAATGAAAACGTCCATCTTCAGGGAAAAAAAGTCTTTAAAGTTTGAAGCGTCTGGCTACTTCTGCCCAGATATTCTAGTCGCTTGGCACCGCTTCGTGACGGGCGTCACCCCGCTCTGGCGGCAGCTTCGCACCGAGTTGGGCCCCATGTATACTGGCGACCATCGCCCAGCAGGAGGCTTCATAAAGGCCAAAGAAACGTGGGAAATAATGATAAATCCCATAGGATCCATGGTGCTGCTATATATGGTAACATTTACATACATTTACCATATTTTACCATGTCAATTATACCCCAAATGTTAGCATTATACCAGCATACATGGATCCGTCATGGGTAATGATTAATGGAAATAGCAGTCAAATCGGGCCTGCCATGTTTTTCCGTGTACCAGGTGGAGCCCAATGTGCCAAGGCATGGAACATGTGCAGATTACCAGTCTCGTGCACTTTTTGGCGGCTTGCTCCATTCGAAAATGCCCCCCCCCATCCCCCGAAGCTGTACCATGATTCGTTGATTCACTCGTCCGCTCCACCACTAAACTACCAAGCTCCGGCATCTTCGGTGCGGGTGGATTTTCCATGATTTTCCGTTTCTCGGGAATTTCCGCCTAAACAAATTATTGACATATTTTATTTTTGCAAAGTAAGCTAAGCTCAGCCAAGAAGGTGCTAAGTACAAAACTGACCACACCTTTCAGAAATTGATCATGTCCAAGTAACTTTCAGGAAATCTGCCCAAAAGGCAAAACAAAAATTGCGAAAGAGAAAGGCATGTCCTCTTGAGGATGTCTGAAGCAGGGTTTAAAGGCTGATGGTTTTCTGTGTTTCCAGTCTCTGGCAAGTCTCAGGTGGACAAGTCCTCCAGCTGAGTTTCGAACTTCACGCCCGTTTTCGGAAAACGCAACCATTTGTGGAGATAACCTCAGCTGTCATTGAAAAAGGCCAGAGTTGGACGAGACATGGCAATGCAGCATCGATTTCATTGGGCTGATGCTAAGCGGGCATCATCCACCATCATCCATCACCATTCCATCAACCTATAATTTGAACATATTTGAGCCCAGCTCTGAAGCTGCATCCAAAGTGCTCCCCTTCCTCAGGGCCCTCCTCAGCAACATCCTCCTGGGCCCAAATTCCAAGTTGCACAACCGCTTGGAGGGGAAACCCGTATTCAAGTTTATGGGGTCCATAGTTATTTCAGTCTGAGACCCCGACATACATTTACCACCACAAACAATGTACCAAAGTACAAGTACTATGTATGTACTGCGCTGAGGCAAACTTATAGTTTGCCCATCAAGATTTCAGCTGCACAGAACTAGAGTTTCAGCCTGCGGAATCGTAGTTGGTTCATCAGAAAGGCGACACCAACAGGTTTATGACAACCAAGGAAACACCAACTGATGTTCAACCAAACGATAAAAAATGAACCAAACAAATTGCGAGAAACACAAAAGACTAGAATGAAACACCTATGAAAAACTAACATGTTGAAGAATGTTGAAGAGCAATTTTTGCACTTTCTTCTTCATCCTTCGGGTTTTGTGTTTTGTTTTTCTTCTCTTTTCCCTTTCCAATGCCCCCTATTTTCCTTGTCCTGTTATTTCTTCCTCTTTGGGTGCTTTTTGTTGTTCTTTCGGGAGGAGAAACGAAAGGACCAAAGTATACCAAAGTATACCAAAGTTCCAAATCCATCCAAGTACACCAATATCATTCAACAAACAACACCAGAAATACCAGAACAAAACAACAACAGTTCTACTCTACAGTTCCCAGTGCTTCGGCCTGGCCTTGGGATCCTTGGGATCCTTGGGCTTCTCATCTTTCTCGGCCTCCGGCAGTGCGGGCCTTCCCCCTTGATGCATCTTGATGGCATGATTGCTGCGTTGATTTTTGTAAATTTTTGATTTTCTAAGAACATACAATCCAATACTACAATCCAATACTACAATCCAATACTACATACCATACAATATAACTATAATATAACTATAATACAATTCAACACAATAGAGTACAATGCGGTACAGTACAGTACAATGCAACAATCCAATCCAATAAAGCCGACTTTAAGTTAGCACGACAGCTTCAAGGGCTAGAAATCAGCGCATCTTTACCAAACCTCGGGAGCTTTGGCTTCTGCTTCTCTGGGCTCCTTCAGGTCCTTCGGCTCCTGCAAGTTACCGCAGGTCAAGTGAACACGCGCCAGTGGTTGGGCGAAGGAGTCTCTGCGTCTCCATTTCCATGGCCGACATGGTTGGCATCGCATGGCATCGCTGCCTCTTCTTTGGGTGACATCTCCCCTTCGCCACCATTTGTTGCTTTTGCCTGTGCAGCATGTGTGTTTGTCGGGGCACCCATGAGCACCCCCCCTGCACAAACCATTGTCCAAGAATCAAACATGCATATTCTGCCGGTGAGACATATTATAAAACATTCCAAAGCAACACCCTTTTTCCTATGCCTTATGTAACTTATGTAATTCAATTCAAATCAAAACGGATTTCAATGGCATTCTGACAGCGTTGGCCACGAGCTACAGCTGGTGACAGCATGCGACAAGTATCATTGCCTGCAACTTGGCTCTTCTCGCTGTTGCCTTTTCGGCAATTTTCCTGGCCTATGTCAAACAATGCACAATATTTCGAGACATTTCCAGAATCTGGAGTGCTTTCATCATGTCACCTATAAGATCGTATAAGTGTGATCTAGTCATGTCTAGTCTTTGATTGTGAACTGCAATCAATATGAACGGACTGACCGGACTGGCCATGTCAACCGAATGTTCACCTCACATTAGCAACCCCGATCAGAATTTTTAGTACGCCGAATCCCAGAAAAACATCAAGAAAATAACCCTTAACAAAGTACGCAGGCCGCTGCTTTTGGCCGTATTGTTTTTTTTCTCCATGACTTTCGCGGATTTTCTTTTAATCTCCTGATTTGTCTTGGATCTCACCTCAAAGAACTTAATTAACATCTCAAAAGGTCGGAATGCATCCATTTCTTTATTAATCCCTTATTACAAAATGAACTAAAAAACTCGAAACGGGGTAGCTAGCATTGAACCACCTCAGAAGCACAATGAAAACAATACTTTTCCACCTTTGTGGGGATTTGGGCCAAACACACTTTGATTTCTGAATCCCCTTTGAAGCAAATTACTTTTGCTAGCTTAACCATTTTCAAAGGCCTAATATTTTTGTAGCGACGGCCCCCAAAATAATGCGCTCGCATTTTGGAGACCTTCCTAAAATTCCAAGGAAAAGTCATTTCCAATTCAACTTCAAACAAGTTTAGAGTCCATTTCAATTTCAGTTAGGCATTTCTCAAACATAATATGTACATCATATTAAATTTCAATTAAGCAATTACTGTATATAATTAGTTCAGCAATATTCAGCGATACTAACAGGATCACAACAACACTCACGTATTCATTTTCAAGGCAATTTGTTCAGCAAAATGAAAAGGTTTTTAACATGACACTTATGTAATTATTCGTTTTCAACTAGGCAATTGGCTCAGCTATACTATTACATAGCAAGTTGAACTTGTGTATTATGTGTATTCGTTTTCAATTAAGCAATTTGTTCCGCAATACAGTACACGTCAGTACATAATGTTCAGAGTCCCTGTACCCACCGTATACCCACCGTACCGTACCCGCCGTCCCCGCCGTCCCCACCGTCCCCACCGTACCGTACCCCTTCTATATTGCACCCTCGTGCGCTGAACCGCAAGAAAACTTTGTTTTCATTGCTTAAAACCTGCTAATTAATATGATTGATATCAAAATTAATTATACAGGTTATGTAAACAATTTTGAAGCATTGATAACTTCTATGTATAAATAAAACATGAAACTGTAGATAACTGTTGGATACTTAAAGATATGTCACAGAAATCCTGTTTATAATGTTTTTGCTCTCGCAGCTGAAGCTGTACCAAGAAATCGTTGATTCAATCATTCGCTTGACCCCAAAACTACCACGCTCCGGCACCTTCGGCGCGGGCGGATTTGTAGCCAAGTGGGGGTTTCCCAACATGAGGGATCCCCAAGTCACTTTGGCTTTTAATCTGTTCGTCCGAATTTGGATGATTTGGGGTATCACCATGACTTAGTAACAGTTACTAACAGTTATTAACAGTTATTAACAGTTATTAACAGTTATTAACCATTATTAGCAGTTATTAGCCGTTATTAACAGTAAGTTATTAACCACTATTAACATCTATTAACCACTATAAGGGGATGGGCTTGCTGTCTGTGACCATCACCTCTGTATCGATCATCCCCGAGGCGCAGACGCGAGACTCTTCGGCACTTTCGTCCACAAAAGACCCGGAACGCCTTGCTGCAGCCTGTGGATGGGGGATCCCCTTTTGGGGATCCCCTTGGGGGGATCCCCAATAGCTGGTGTTTTGGATGTTTTTTTTTCATGGACATTTTGAACATCCATCTAAAATTTTAATGATAAGCCATAGGATCCATGGTGCTGCGAAAAACAATGGTCACATTTACCATAAAAATACCCCAAATGTTAGCATATATACCAGCACCATGGATCCTATGGGTAATGGATGATCAGCCGGATGATTTGGAGGTAGCCCATGGATATCATAGATTCGAAACATTTCGAAACCTCCAAACATTGCCAAACACTGTTTGCTGGACAAACTTCTGTTGCTATTGTTGCTTGATGAATGTGTCTCAGTCATTTACAGACACGTCCCACATCGTCCCACGTCAAGTGTTGTTCCGTGTTTTTCAATGTTTTTCATCCACGTCAAGTCGCAGAAATCACGTGACACAGCACGACAGCACTGCTGCCTTCTGTGCCAGTCGCTGCAGACGGGCTGCCTCGCGAGCCTCAAGCCTCTGCCTGCACATCACCGAGGGGTTGAGGGGATGTCAATTTTGATGGACAACTATGCTGATATTATATGATATTATCACTCTTGTATCACCTCGCAAAATTCCCGCAATCGGAACTTTGCCATACTTTCATGATCTTTGATGTTGGGAGAGCTTTCATCACACATCAATCTGTACATACTTTGGACTTACTTTGGACTCACTTTGGACCCTCAGCAATTTCCATCTCCCGCTCCAGGCTCTTCCGACATTTCTGCTCTCGGCCGAGTCACTTTCTCTTCTTTCGAGCTTCGGCCCCAGTTAAGCCTTCATCCTCGATGCTTTCCAAATCCTCCTGACCACCACAACATCAACAGAGTGTTTCCATGCGATTATGCGAAATATACCTGAAACTCATTGAAATTCTGCATCCAATTCCCTCATCCTGGAATTTCTCAAGAATTCTCAAGATATATTCAAGTCACTTCGAGTACAGCATTGAAAAACCTCAAATTGAAGGACTCAGCAAACCAGTTTCGAACTTCATTAACTTTGGATACACTTGTGCCCTTTCCTGAATATGCACATGTGCGGTGTTCATGTTTTGTCCTGCAACTCATTGATTTGTACTTTGAAATTTGAACGGTCTGGGTCTGTCCTCAATTATTCAGGAGATATGGGCACTACTGCAGCAAAACCCAATTTATAATCCATCCCCGACATTACCACGAGTGGCTATAGTGGAGTAGATACGGGGATGGTTTAGAAACGTTTAGAACCCAATTTATACCCTCTGGTAAACTAACATAACTATGGAAACCCACCATTTTTTATAGCTAAATCAACTATTTCAATGGCCATTTTCCATAGCTATGTTAAATTTCCAGAGGTTAATCCATCCCCAATTCTAAGGGTTGGTAGAAATAGCCATGGAAAAACCCATGGAAAAAGCCTCCGCCTCAGGAGAGCCCTGCCCTGGAATCCCTGGAATCATGGCATCGCGGAGCCGTTTGAAGCAATAAATGTCTAGCAACATGAACTCTCCCAAAGTTGAATAAAAAACTGCAACTCAGTTCAACATCTGGTGGGTATCTAAGGCATTCTAAGGCGAGTCATAGGGTATCTAAGGGTGGGATGGTGAGTCATTGCATGAGTCATTGCTGCTTCATGGCGAGTCATGGCGCAAAGCCTGTATCAAATTAGGCTGTTCTAAGCCTCAGCTTGAGATAATGAGAACAAATGCAGCGTGGACAGGCTGCACACCTGCGCAAGATCCGCAAAGCCCTTTTGCAATGTCTATGAAGAGTTCCAAACTATTCCATAACTCCTTTGATTTGGGATACTCCCCTTCCAAGTCGCGTGTTCTCTGACGCTGAAGGCTGCGAAGGCTGCACTAGCCCTTTCTCTGCTATGCCTCGATGCGTCCTCTGCTCTGCTTCGAGACGTTCCAGGCAGGTAACTTTGACCACTCCGATATTGCTATGGCTAGACTCGGTCTCAAATATGCCAATCATCCAAACATATCCAAACATTCAAACATTTCAATCCATTTCATAGAATTTCTCATATTGGAATGACATCACACGCTAAGTCACAAATAATCACAAAGTCACCATTACCAAACAAACAATATACAACAATACACATCAATACACATCAATACACCTGGAAGTAGATTTCCAAATATCCTGAGCAGCCGCCCGGTTTCCGCGAGCGGAATCCAGACCAGAATCCATCAGATCTTGGATTCATCGTCCTGGTGGTGGAGCTGTTGAACATTGAAATCCAAAAAAAGACAGCAATACATCAATAATGGGATAATCATCAATAATAGTGGTTATAATCATCAATAATAGTGGTTATAATATCAATAATAATAATTACTGGTTGGTGGTTTCAACCCCTCTGAAAAATGATGGAGTTCGTCAGTTGGGATGATGACATTCCCAATAGATATGGAAAGTCATAAAAATTCATGTTCCAACATGTTCCAAATCACCAACCAGATCAACATACATCAAAATCCTGTGGGCGTTTCATGGTCTTCGCATCGTCAAAACACTGCGGTCTCCGAGGGTCCTGTTTTCCCAGGATGTCTGCCTCTGGCTTGGACCTCGCGACACATCCCTTGTAGGGATCAGATGAAATAAGCTCCCAAAAGGAACCAGTTTGAACTTGGATCTCTTCATTTCTGGGGCTGGTTTGATCTATTTTGATCTATTTTGTTTGATTTAACATGATTTAACATATTTTAATAGTATCCGATAGTATCCGTAGAAATTTAATCTTGGTTCTCTTGGGATAGTTACCCCAATCCTGACCATCCGCAGGATGGGACATGGATGAACTGCGTTCTGAAGCTTTGGGGTCCTGGCCCTTTCCCATGCGTTGAAGCCCAAAAGGAGTCATCTTCCTCCTCGTCCAAACCACCCTGCAGCATAGCATAGCCAGTACAGCATTGGCAGCATAGCTGTGAATCAAGTCAGACATGGGCATTGTGTGATCCTCAGCATTTGCCCTGACTCTGGAGTGGGACTGGGGGGTTTCCAAGTTTTCCAGTTGGCGGAGTGATCCAATCACTGATGCCACGACGTTTTCCCATTCTGTTTCTGAAAATCCCTACGGACCAACACGGACGTGACCAGTGAAGCGCACCTCATCTGCCCAAACATTCTTATCATCCGCAACTTGAGAGCTCTCCCCTTTCTCTTCACCTTCCACCTCCACAAGAGAACTGTGATGCCGGACTCTGGACTCACACAGAGGGACAATGTAATCAAAGACCACCAAAATCACAAAGGACCAGGACAACTCAGCTGGTGAACAGCCTGCTTGTAAGCAAATCGCTGGCTATTGGTGTGCGGCGCGAAGAGAAACATAATCGCACCAAGTACCTGCCAAACAAATCACTTTGCAGCGCAAAAGAAGTAATCAGCTCTGACCAGCTCTGACTGCTGCGGGGATCTGCCGGGTCACCATGCAAAAAAGGATGTGCGAAACTCCGTCGGCAAAGAACCATTGATAGTGCCATCTTTGGCTGATACTTCTAGACAGGTCATAGAGCTGAAATAGCCTCGGTGGATATCAGTGGCTGTTCCAACATCCGACATCTGGAGCAAACTTTGCAAAGCGGTTTTGGATGGTTTTGGGACTTTGAGAGACATCAAAAAATTGGGAGTGGTTGTAGAATCTGTGGATTTGCCTAACAATGAGTTGCATAATGGCTTTCTACCCATGATTTATCATCGTGTTTCCTCCTGAAACGGCCATACTGACCCATTTGACTGCCCTTGATTATGATTGCAAACATCAGCACTGTTCACATCTGTTCACTAAATTGAGAGAAGCTGCAAGCTCAAGGATGCCAAACTCAGGGCAGCTACTAGAATCTTCCACCTCGGTTTGCAATCTGGCCATCCTGAACTCCGAACGTGAATCAGGTATATTGTGGTATATTAGGGTTCAAACCTTTGGGCCCAATATTGGGGGGGTTATTCACACAATTCCCAGCTACTTATGCTACTTTGGGTTTTTTCCAGCGGGGGGCCAAAATGGCCCAAATCCATCCCTGGCCCTCTTTGGAGTGGATCCATGTGGATCCCCTGAGACAAGTCGCAATCGCTGAAATACCCTTAACCTGGCGCAGCCACATTCAGCAACCCGCAATCCATGGGGACGTGTCTCTGCAAATGGGTCTGATGGGCATCTGTTTTCGAAACAGCCAGGGACACTTTTCTTGTTGCTTGCGCTCGGCAAGTGTCTCTATCAAAGATGACCTGAGAACAAATCCATGTTGCTCGACGGCGTGCAAAAGCGATGACACAAGGGCCGAGGACGGCACAGCGCAGTGAAAATCCAGTAGAAAATCACTCCTCAAAAACACAGGCACTGGATACTGGGCTGAGTACTTCGCCGATTCCGAATGGAAAGCAAAAAGCGCTTTCAAAGATCATCACGCTGAGGCAAGGGACCATTCAGTAATGCAACCTGAATGCTTGAACTGCAATAGCTTTTGGATGGAAGAAACAACCTATTCTGTTGCAACCTTCAGTCTTATCCACTTCTTTCCAAATTGAGGCACACACTGGAAGTAAACAAAGTAGGACAAAGGCTATGGACAGGGAGTGGCTGTGCCTGATTCATGGAAGCCACCCCAATGCGTATCGCTATCACTCGGCAGTCATGAGATGCTTTTTCCATGCACCTGAAGGACAATGCCGACTCGCGAATAAAGTCCAGGACGATGTAAAAGCAGGACAAAGCCTGGACCTCCAAGGGCTGCTAAGCCATTGAGATCCACTGAGTGCTGGAGCATCAATAAGCACCAGGCCTTGAGGATGGTAGGTTGATCTAGGTATGGCCGGGTAACACCCCAACCCAGGGAAGCAACCAGCACCAGCATGTAGGAGAATATCGACCTCAGGAGAAAAATGAGAAAGTGACCCTGTTTCCATCTGTTTCCCCGTTGGCTGGAAGGTCACTGCCATGCTGTGGCAGCGACTTGACGACGGTTGCCAAGATGGCCAGAACGAAGACAAATCTACGGCGGTAAGCACTATCAATGGATTGATTCGAGGGAAAAAAATGAAAAACTTCGGGAAAGCATGGTTTTTGCCACAAAATATCCAAACGTGTCTAGATTCTAGATTCTTCCTTCAACATCCTTCAAACAATTCTGGGGCAGCATGAAAGTGTCAGCTGCTTTACATAGTATGACATCTTCATACATCTTCACTTTCCAAAGGAACTCTAGTCCCAGTGAGCTCTTTCCTTGGAAGTAACAATGTGCTCAGGGCCTTCCACGGAGCCCAGATTCGTTCCAGTCCATGAAGAATCTCCACTGTAGGAATGCTTCTACCTGGCTGCAAGAAACTTCTTACTTTCTGTCGTCCTGAATCCAGCTACGGATTTTTTCTTTACAGACCGCCATCCAGCGCGGAATCCGAAGCGAGGCTGGTGTACCAGGCCGAGGAAAATCACAGCCGTGATGCAATACCTATAGGCCATACTGTCATACCCCAACTATCCCCAACTATGATCAACTGAGCATGCCGGCTTCAGACAACCGTTAAACCGGTTAAACCGTTGCGTTCAGCGTTAGGGCCATGGCTGAATGTGAAAAAGTTCGCGCCAGTATCGCAACGACAAGCACATCCAAATCATCGCCATAAAGATGTACAACTTGGCG